GTTCCCATTTTGCTTGCTCTCCTTTTCTTGCTTTTTCTGAGACGCCGCTTCTCCCTATGTGCTCTTTGACTCCTGATCTACTTCTTGTACTGCATACTGAATTATCGCGTATGTTGGCACTGCACAGGTGTGTCTTAATTCTAGGTGGTTCTCACTCACCTTTTTGTTGGCTGCATGGAGTCAAACGGCCGATATGCACCATATCAGTCTTTGAGGTGTTTGGTTTGCTGACGCTGTCTGCGCGGCTCGGTGGTGACGCGCAGGCGTTGGCTCTGGACAGGTGGTGGTGCGCCGATGCACTCGGCGCCCGCTGGGTAGGCAGCCGTTCTGCCTCAGGTGTGGATGTGGTCGCCTACGTCCGCACTCGGCGACGTGGGCCACTGATGGTCACGGGCTCGGTGATCCCTCTCTCTCGCACGCACTTGTCCACTCTTTGCTCACTCCGGATAGTTATTGAAGGGGTTCGTAAATAATAAGACTCCGAGTTACTACTGTTGCAGCACTGACTCGACACACCGGGATTTGTTATCTACACTTGCACTTTCACTGACTGACCCTAACGGGCGCGACTCTATGGTCCAACCTAACGGTGGACAGGGACCCACGACCAGCGTGGTCCGAACCGAACGGTTTGAGGTGTATAACTAGACTGCCTCCCTTCGGCAGCGGGTGAGACCCGCTCCAGCATCATATCTCAATATCTTATGAGTGGTGCGCTCAATCGGCACGCGTAACTATCTCAGGCGTTGCCCCTGTGCTGCGCCGGGCGTCGGCGCGCGTGCCTGGCCGAGGCGCGTGCCCGGCCGAGGCGGGGCGGGACCGCGAGTATCAGCGTGGTGACGCTGATACTTTCCTCCCTCTTTTCGTTATTTTTACAAAATTTGATTGTTTCCTTATAAGGATTGTTAGTTTGATCAATGTATAAACCTTGTAAAATCATAGGAATAAACTCATTCAAACTAAGAATGTTTCTAAAATTTTGAATGATATACGAAAATGACAACCAAGACAAATCAATACTCCATCTTACTTTTTCACTGTAAATAAGAAATTCAGAGAAAATCTGCAATCTTAAAGTCATATCAAGTAACCTGATATTCAAGCCAACAATATTACACTCATTCAGGGCCAGGGACTACCATATATGGTAGTCTCAACTGTCACATATTGTTAGTGCTTTATTAAATATCTCATGTTTATCACAACCATGATATGGTTAGTGTCGGACTGTAACCATAACGTCGGGTTAATTCAGAACTTCAGAGATACGAAGGCTGTGTTAGTGCTTGATCTTGGCATTCCCACAACGTTGTGTATGGTTGAGAGAAAGGGTACATGGTCAGCCTGACCCTATCCCTGTCTCCACAACTGTATAAATCTAACAATATGGACATTGTTGATTCAGCTATATTTCATGGTTGTCCCTGCTCGACCCTAAAACTTGGTTCTCACAACCATCGGACGGTTGTGATAACTTTTCGTTTTTCTGGGTGTAACCCCACCGTGTCAGCACGGCAGAGCCGATAAGATGGCGGACTGCTGCGCGCCAATTTCGAGCCTGCTCTTAAAATCGCGATGCGCGTCGGGTAAACGTTATCGCACAGAGCCCAAACTTTGCACAGGGTCTCTACTAGGTCCAATCTTTCATTTGAGGTGCCGACCTCGAAACTTTTTTTTTTTGGAATGGCCTATTGGACATACGCCCCTTTGTCAAGATTTTCCTGAGTTATCCCGGTAGTTTTTGAGTTAAATTGGTCGTAGTTTTATATTGATTATTTTATAAGTGTCCCTTCTGCCGATTGAAAAATTGTTTGCGAGATAGGCGGCTACGCATGATTTGAAGTCCGCAAAACTCTGCCTTCCTCTCCACTGCTCGTAGGCGCGAGCGGGTAGGGGTGAGAGGAAGGGGGGAGGCACTCTTTTCTTTGTGCAGCAGGTACAGAGTGTTTGCCGGACAAGCGGGCGGGCGGCTAACCCAAGGTCGCCAAGGCCGGGCGAATGTGAACCGTGACAGATGGCAGAGTATCTCGAAGATCGGTCTGTTGAAACGGATATACGTATAATTGACAAGAAGTAAATAAAAGGGTCTTCCTCCTCGCCCTCGCTGCCTTGCTTGCACAGCACAGGCCTGCACGGACCCCAGATGAGCCGAAACATTACCGTCTTTCCAGCCCCCTTTCCTTCATTCCTCTGAATGCCGCTCTAGCGGCAGACTCCAGATAGCACATTGCAACAGAATGTGGATAAACAGGAAAAAAATCTCATAATTTTTAAAAGTTCTACTGGGCAAAACTAACTATAACTGAAATTCGTTACAGTTACAGAAAAAATTGAACTAATTACAGTTATTTGGTTTGTAAATGAAACTAGTTACAGCTTCAGTTGCTGCAAATCGTAACTAGTTACAGTTACAGTAACTAATTTAGTTAAATTTTTCCCATCCCTGGCCTTTAAGGATTTAGAAAATCTATTTTTACAAACATTATCCCTTTTAACCAAAATGTAAATTTGATATATCTGGTGGACTCTAACTTACTGCTGTAGCACATCTGCTTACTTTATGCTGCTGACAAATGCAAGCGCACATAACATATCCCTCTGAACTAGATAACACTTCATTATTACCTAGTTTTCCTATCTCTAACAGAAGCAAAAACTCCTCCCCAATGACATTTGTGAAATAATTTTATACTAGTTGTCATAAGCAAATCCAAACTATGGTTTGAATCTAAAGCAGAAACTCACAGTGGAGGGTTTTCATCTAACCAAATTCCTTATCAGTTCTTTAAAAAACAAAAAATGACTCAGCTTGTATTAACTCAAGACTGCCCCTGACAAGCTTGTAGCTGGCCAAACACAGAGAGTACACACTAAGGCCTCATATATTTACCAAAACCATTAAGTAAAGAGTAAGTACTATAGAAACTTGAATGGCGGGTATGCGTAAAACTTGTCTTTTTAGATGTAGAATCCAGTGCAATTTTTTATTTTGAGATCGGACAATATTTAATGATCGCGCAACGAGTTCAAAGTTATGCATTAGCTCTTATGGGAAGAATCGTCAAAAACCATGAAAAAATGAAAATCGAAAATTTAGGCTTTGTATGTGATGTTTTTCGAAAATCTGTTTTCAGAAATGCATTCTACGCCATAAAAGGCATCCACTGATGTGTCACACTTGATATTATAGTGAGCGTTCAGTCCCGGCCAGGTATCAATTTAAGCCTAAATTGCATCAGATTGCACAAAATTCATGAAAGTATGCAGCCCTCACCGCCTAAACAATGGGTTGCAATATCAAGTGTGATACATCACTGGATACCTTTTTTTTGGCGTACATTGCATTTCTGAGAACAGATTTTCAAAACACATCACATACAAAGCCTAAATTTTCGATTTTCATTTTTTCATGGTTTTTGACGATCTTTCCCATAAGAGCTAATGCAAATTTTGGAGCTCGTTGCGCGATCAGGAAATATTGTCTGATCTCAAAATAAAAAATTGCACTGGATTCTACATCTAAAAAGACAACTTTTCCTCATACCCGCCATTACAATATCTCAAATCTTTTTCAAACGAACCCGTTTCTACCAGACACCGCGGCGCAGGGTGGGAAGCGGGAGATCGTTCAACACCACCTGTTGCATTTTGAGCCGCGTCTGGGTAACAGCCCAACAATGGACACCTTGCTCTCGGTACTCCGCTCCACGCGCGCGTGCCGCCCTCGTGTAAAATAGTGTACACTTATGTGTGTATTTTCACGCTAGGCGTGATTTTCACGCTTCGTAAGATTCACGCAGCCAATCAGGAATCGAATTTCATCACGCAGGGAGTGATAATCATGCCTGGTGTGAGAATGACGCGGAAAACTAGGTGTCTTTTCTTTAGATTACGTGCCGCTCACGCAAAAATTGTGTGCAGTTATAAAATAAGAAGTCCATTATGCAAAAACACACCTTGCAGAAAGACACGTAAACAATTTAAAGAATGATTTGCGTGCCTTTAAAGCTTTAAAGTTCCTAAGACACCTCAAGCGACTAAATTTCCCCAACCATGGGTTCGTTTCACAGTTAACAAGAATTGTTAACGTTTTTTGCGCTACCCTGCCAGATGGGAATGAGACATCTATCGCCATCTATAGATGTCTATTTTCTATAAGGGGCAGCAGGTTGGCATGCTCTGTTGAATGTTCAGATGGGAGGTCTGGATGTAGCACTGCAAATGACGGGCATGGCAGCTCCACGGGATGCGTCCTCAAGTGGCCATTGCCAGCAAAGAATGGCACAGTCACTGCACCTGCAAAACGAAGAGAGAATACGAGTAACACGTTCTAAGATGATTTTGCTCCTTTGAAAGTCATAGGTTATTGCGCGAGAGGTGAGGCTTGCTTGGATAGCTATGTAAAGAGCGAGATAGCAACATATTCAGCGATTAAAAAAAAGGAAAAAAAAATCGTAAAAAACGAAATCGTGGAGCGTTAGCTGGTGCAAAGGCAAAGAAATGTGACGGTATATCACTCACTTCGGGAAAAGTCGTCGTCACACCCACTACACCGCAGCAGAAAAACAACAAACCTCAAACACAATGAAGCTTCTGCTGCCCAGCAGACGCAAGTATTAAAAGTTCAGTGAATTTTCCATACTGCTGATCGGCTGATCAAAACAAACAGAAGTTTCGAGCAACGATAGCGTGGAGTGACGGGACCCTCAGTAAAATGGCAAGACAGAAGTTTGGACCCAAATCATGCAAAATTTTGGGTCCAACTAAGTTACCGAACCGTTCTGGAAAGACATTCTGGCTATATTTTTCAAAGTAAAGTGTTTGCTGTGTCACAACCCAAGAAACTTAAGGTGTTCTATCGTGTGAAGGACTGCTACTGGTGTACCAAACATTTAGCAGCAGACGGAATTAGAAACGGCTCTAGAAAGTGTACCCCATCTAGGTTATGCGTTTCGTGCACAATCAAAAGTTACAAACTTTAAAATGTACACAGCAAGGGAACTGGCTAGCATACCTTTTCTTCATAGTGGCACACTCAAAGACTGCAGCTGAGGCAACCCAACTGCTTTGCATCTGACAACATGGATGGTAAGTACAAGAGCTATTGAACTCATCTGTTGCATGTTAATTATTACTGTACAATCCATGTAGACCAACCATTCACTTGTGCAAGTAAATGTGAGAGGATGTTAAAATTCTCTGGGAGTCGCTGTGGTTCTTGAGGATCATTCGCATACCAAAATTACATTTTGGACATTCGCCAAAATGGTCTATGGACATTCGCCATATCTCAAGGGCAAGGGACCAAGGGGACGTTCGCCATTATGTTCAATAGAACAGGGGACATTCGCCCTTGTGTCAGAAAATACACTTAACATTCGTCCTTATGACAAACAATATTCTTGACATTCGCCTTTATGTCGAACAGTACAATGGACATTCGCCTCTATGTTAGATTTTATGTAGGACTTTCGCCCTTCTGTCACCTCAGCCTGTTTTGTCTGAATGGCGTATGTCCTGCTATCTCTGTTAGTGTGAGCTGTAGAGGTTCACTTTCTTTTGCTACTTGTGGGGTTATCAAAAAAGAACTATCTGTGAAAAGGGAGCCTGTTTTGAATGAAAAATCGATCTTGCAGGCTCAAAATAGACACATTATTGGCCATGGTGAAAAAATCATTTAATGGACATTCGTCCTTATGTCAGATTACCACTGAAATGTCAGAAGAAAGCAAGAAATTCTGGACAAAAACTCAAGGATTTTATTAAATATGACACTTCTGACGATGAGGACTCAAATGACAATAATAAAATTCCCTTTAGGAGTTCCCATAATTTCGTCGACTGTTTGCTCACACGTGGACAAGTGGAAAAAATCTATGGCCATCGAAATATGAGCGGATTAAATTCGGAGACGAGATGCAGGCGGAGAGGTTAACATCAACATCGAAAAAATAATAAAGGTAGCACATGGCCGGTCAAGCTATGTGCATCTGTAATATTACAAATTTAACAGAGACATCATTAAGATCCTTGAAGCATATTGGGAACAGATACACATCTATTTTTCACAACATACCATTATAAATATTACCCCTTTAACATCAACTAGACCAACTCCTGATCCCACCTGATCCCACCATACGAAACTAGTTCATCAGACTCCAGTCAAAAGAAAGGTGATATGTATTGACCAACACACATCCACCACTCACCTGAAACAATAAAATTGCGATGATTGTTCATGAATAAAGCAGTCGACCATTGCCAAGCAGTTACTAGCTATATGTACGCCAGACCACGTTACCCCTTAGGAGCCCATAAAAAAATATTTGAAAAAAATAAATATTTTGCAACCTGTGGTTTTTGATTTTTTTAAGAGTCAATTTTTGCGCTAGAAGGCGTATCTTCGAACTCGATGTGTTTTTTTTGTGATACAAAACGACCCTGAAATTCCCAGATCGCTCTCTCAATTCTTTCTCGAGTTATCATGCGGACAGACAGACAAACAGACAAACAAACAGAATGAAACTTTTCCGGTCTGTGGAGTAATGGGCTTCGCTAATGGCTCAGCCAACTAGATAATCTAGGGACCCTGAAGCCCAAAAGAGGGTGTGGTTCGAGCCACAAAGTGTGGTTTAAGTATAACTCCCTTTACAATTCTGTGACATGAAGCCTTTTTTACGATTTAATAGACCATTTTGCATTTTTCACGTTGTTTTCGCCAAGAAATGCCCCATAGCACCGAAACAGTACAAAATAGAGGAAAACGGATGAAATTTTTGTCCACATGGTATGGTTCTCTTTCTCGAGTTATCGTGCGGACAGACAAACAAACAGACAGACAAACAAACAGAATGAAACTTTTCCGGTCAGTGGAGTTATGGGCTTCGCTAATCGCTCAGCCAATAACCTTGAGAGGGGTCAGCGTCTAAGTGCATCCCGCACACATGTCTATTTTCACCCTTCACCTGGTCTTGTTTCATTGTGGTGCGTGAATGTTGTCAGCGCCACAGTCAAAGCAATTGTGTCATTAATAGTATAGACGCCTGGCGTGTTGGTGTTGTACGTGCCTTCGATCTTATAGCTCTTCCAGGCACAACCCGAGCCATTCGTCATGCAGCTTTCCATCTTGTCCTGGCTGTGCCTAAAGGAAGGTCTACTGCAGCGATTACTAATGCGCGTTCTTCGGAGCAAGGTGTGTGAACTCGCTTCTAAATTATAACTAGGTAGATGTACCACGTCTCGCGTAACAGGCTTCGCGATATCTCACGAAACACTGTTACGCTGCGACGCGCCTGGCATACATCTGCGTAGGCCTGCGGCGCTGACACCCGAGTCGGGAAGCGCAAAAATGTAAACAAAGATACGGGCCTTCGGCCCGTCAACTTCCCGTCACATCGACCAAGAATGCAGGGTTGTACATTTTTTCACTTATTTTCGCCCAAAACTCCCTGTAGCGCCTAAATGGTTAAAGATAGAGCCAAACGGACGAAATTTTCGCCCAAAGGGCTCTACTTTGATGAGTTACCCCTTAGAAAACTGTAAAAAAATATTTTTTAAAAACATTACTTGTGGAACCTGTGGATTTTGATTTTTTTTTAAATCCAATTTTTGAGCTAGAATGCTTTTCTTCGGACTCGATCTGTCTTTTTATGATACAAAACGACCCTGAAATTCCCAGATCGCTATCTCAATTCTTTCTCGAGTTATCATGCGGACAGACAGACAAACAGACAAACAAACAGAATGAAACTTTTCCGGTCTGTGGAGTAATGGGCTTCGC